ATAGGAGCTTCTTTCTTCCACAGTTTTCGAAATACTGAATATTTAACGAAATCCAAGGATAGTTATTTTTGAAATATGCAGCTTCATTAGCTTTGAAACAGTCGACGTGTCTACAGAAATTTGGTTCATGACTTTCAGATTTACTTAAGATCAAACGAAATAGCAAGCACTCCACTGGCGTCACAGTGTGTTTCAAAATAAACTGACATGTACGTGTTTTAAAGAAACAGTTGTAAGCAGCGAGGTGTGTGAATTGAAATGAACCAGGCCGATTTATTATGCAGAATATCACAGCTCCTGGTTTATAGTTTTCCTGGCATACGGTCGCACGATAGAGTCTTAAGACCCTTAACCCTTCTAAGGGCGATACTCGTCTAAATAATAAATATTTAAAAGCGACGTTTGCACCTCCGTGAAACCCCAACTCAGCACCGCCACAAATGCAATTTAAGGAAATTGTTTCTGTTTTCTCTGAGAACGAAATGGAACCCGGAGGCGTATACGTGCAGGTGGTATACATGATTACCGCAGACTTTCTATGCTGATCGAAGTTCTTCGCGGTTTTTATCAGTCCCTCCAGGCTAACGCCTTATGTTAGGCCACAACCGCTTCCTTTCCAATTCCTCGTGTCAGCTGCCGACATAAGCCACAAAAGTGAACAAATTTGCGATATTTTCCGAACACCAAGTGTTTCAACAATGCAAATTCATTCTGAATATTCTAGTGAGTGCTCGCAGATGGCAGCATCGTGCAACTAGAAACTGCAACGCGTAGTTCCTCACACGTGGCTGAGAGGGCGGTTGTGCAGGGTTCAACACTTCCGATCAATACAGAACACAGGCCGGTACAGTTTAACCTAAACGCGCTGAATCACGTTCTTCATTCGTCTCCGTTATTAGCATTAGCGTCGCATAACTTAGTTCTGCTCGTCAAGATGGCGAGAGGCGATGCACAACATTTTCGGTGAATTCGGCCACCAGTCAAATTAGTTAACCTAGAAGGCCCTAGGAAAAATAAAAGAGACGCTGAAATTGAATGGACGCGTCTGCAGAAATAAGGTTAAATATTTTTTAAATCTTTAATTGGGAGGATCAAGAAACACGAACGACGGTCGACACGTGGGTCGTCACTTCGCTGCCTCGTACACGTGACGCCAAAACAGGAAGACAATTAGGAAAATGAAAAAGCTTTGCGACACAAATAAGTATTCTTATATTTATCGTCGTATGAACCATTTTAAACAAGTCTTATGAAACATAAACAATTTTTTTAGATTTCCTGCTCTAATCAGGTCGATATTTCCTTTTAGACAATTTTCGTCAAGGAATGCTGACGACTTACGCGAAGTTTCGCTGCAGATTACAGAAATTACGTTTTGACTTCAAAGTAACATAAACTATTTTGACATTTGCTGTCAATAGCAACAAATCAAATTAAGTAAATCTTCTTCTTCTTAACACAAACATTTTGTGGCCGCGCCTACGTCGAGCCAGGGCCGTAGGCCGTGATCTTCGTGTGTAGGATTATGTTGGCCCCCGCAAAAGCCCCGATGGCCGCTGGGTCGACGGTGAGGCACTGGTCGGTGGCCCACAGGGTGGACAGGGACTCGTACACGGGCCGCACTTTGCCCCGCCAGGAGTGAGGGCGGCCGTCCTGACCCACGACCTCCAGCGACGCCTTCACGAGCGACACGCTGTCCGGCTTCCACGACGGGACGAACTGCGAGACAGACAGAGGTCGTGTGATTGAAGCCCGGCGTATCGCTTTCGACGCAACAGAAACCATTTTAATATTATCCTCTTAAACTTTAGCGTGACTTGGGGCCAAAACAGAACTCAGCTTTTCTGTCATGCTAAATACTGAATAAAACCCACCGTTTTTTCGCCTTACGAATTTTTCCTTTTCGCATTTATCAAAATGTGATCGTGAATCCTCCGAGGAAGAGGACCGTGCAACAAAACCTACAGCATGCCCTGAAGAAGGGGCAGACTTTTTCTCCGAAACGTTGGTATCCACCTTCGAGTCTGTACACGGCTTCGTCCCTGGGTCCTCACCTGGATCGTCGCGTACAGAAGGTGTCCGTGGCAGTGGATCGTGATGACGAAGAGCCTTCGCTTCACCTCCCTCAGAAACGACATCTTCTGGAGGGCCCGGACTTCGTGCAGCGGGATCGTGTGGCTGGCTTCGGCCCGGCGCGAGATTTCTTTCCTGTGAACCTGAGGGCAATACAAAAGTTCGAGCGGACTTCGATTTTGCTGGGTCTGCGTCTTCACTGTCGGTCCACAATGATTTAAACGAAAGCCAAGTCGATATAAAGCTGGTTCCTCATTAATACACGAATTTAATTAAACACTCGTAAATGCTGCTAATTGTCTGGTACATAATTTCTACCAGGTGTGTCATTAGCGAACTAATTTCTCACCAATTTAAAATATTGCAGACGTACGATACGAGTAGAGTCCTTGGTGAAGCTGATAGTCACTTAGCCGGTACAGCAATTCCCCGTCTTTTATGCAACCCTAAGATTTACAACTGTCTTTACACAAGCACGGCATTGCGTCCTATCCTGAGCCAGTTTAATCCAGTGCATACCTCATTTCTTTAAAACCACTTTAATATTATCCTCACCATACCTCACGTAGGTGCGCGGAGAGGTGTTTCAGGCGTCCGCTCCAGGCACACTGGTTGTAGCACTGCACGGTCTGGTAGGTGCAGACCTTCTCGTGTTGCTGCAGGTCGCTGGGTTCGAGACCCGCTGTCCTGCACCCGTGTCTCTGGTAGCGGCAACACTGCGCGACTGGAGGCTGGCGCTGGAGCAAATGGATTCTGGGGTAAAGTGGCCGGAGCCAAGAACACGCGGAGCGATGCCTCCTCTACCTTTAATTTATTTTTACGTCGTAGTTGTTGACGTGTGCGAATTCTTACCGAGCGATGTTCGTCTTGAATGATTTCGAACATGGCGTCACGTAACTGCGGGTCTTCGGAAACTGCCGGGAAGAGGCTGGTGCCGCCGTCCACGACGTGCGATGTTGCGTCATTCGGCGAACTCATTGCCTGGGGTCGGTGCTGAGCTTCGAGGGGCCAGCCCAAGCCGCGTCGACCCTCGGTCTCTTGCTGAAGCTGCGAAAAGAAAAAGCAATGTGCAAGCTGATAGTCTCTCAGCTGGTCAAGACATAAGGCGGTTCATGACATTGAGCCTACTTCTTCGTCGGTGGACGCCAAGTAGCTGTATATGAGTGGGTACGACAGTTGGTCGTTCTGGCGAAACTCCGGGAAGCTGGCGGCTGTCCGCTGCACCTGGTGGGCGCCGTCGTTTCCAGCACCCCACCACGGCTCCTCAGCTGCGCCGGGCACTTCCTCCTGCCCCACAGCGTTTTCTGCCATTTCCCTGGGCGCAGAAATTGCCCTGGAACGAATTACAAGACTGCGTTTGCGACTGACAACAAACTAATGTAAGCGACAAGGAATTCTCCGCTGCAAGTGTTTAATTGATGCCTAAATTTTTAAACGTGCTCAGGTAAATAAATAATCGTTAGAAGTTCGCACAACCAAATCTCCCGAAGTCGCGGCAATGCCCGGTGGCGTGCAGAGACAGGGAGTACGACAGCCTCCGGTCTCCCCGGACGCGCCTTACTTACGTGGCCGAGCACACGGGAGACCTGTAGCACTGGTGGGTGGTTGTGGTCGCCGACTTCCAGAACGTCGGCATCGGCGCCTCTGAGGCGTGGTAGTCGCTCTTGACGTTCAGCACGAGCTCCAGGGGCGGCGGATTGTCCCCTCTTCTGCTGCACTTGGTCCCGTGATCCGGCTGAGTGACAGCCGCTGTCGACTTCGGCGAGTGACTGTACCGGAGCGACTGTGGGTTTACGCGCTCCGGATAGAATGCGGGGAACGTCTGGGGCGGCTCTAGGTGACAAGGTGGAATTACGGGTGGGTGACGTCCAATTGACAGATCTTCGGCCTGCAAACGAAGCGTTTCATTCTAAACCTCGTCATACTGTGGCACAGAGAACGGAGATTCAAGTGTCGTGGGTGTTACCTGTTCCAGTGGGACAGAGTAGCTGCAGGGCTGGTTCAGGTCGAGAAGACGAGTCGAGTCCATCCCAGGATCAAACAGAACTGGCCGGAATATGTGAGGCGTCGTGGTGGCGTCGGGAATGTATGTCGGAGGGTCAGCCCTTTGCATGTCCAAGTACACGGGCCACGTCGCGTGCCCGCCGTAGAAACTCTGCGGTGCGGGTGATTCTGCCCCGACTATGGTCTCTGTGGCGCTGCTGTTCCGAACAATTGCCTCCGTTAATTCGTAACCGTAGCTTCATCCAGCAACTTATCAGCAGTCACTTACGAGAGAATGTGTGAATGCATGCATGAGAACCGTAACAATATTCTGTGAAGTGAACAAACTACAAAGCTCCTCATTATGCGACTATTACAGCGCCTCTCTGAACTTTCGTCAGGGGCTCTGACCGAGTTTCACACCCGTACCCACCTCGGCCCGGGGCCTTCCTGCAGCAGGGTGCGTAGCAGCGGCTGAGGACGGTGGACAGTCAGCTCAGGTGCTGACACCTCCCGGCGGGTGGCGGTAGCTTCCATCACCTGCAGACGTTAACCAAGGAACCGGTTACTTGTTTCCGTTTGCGACATGCGCAGTTGACTGTGACCCCTCTATTTCCACACTAAATATGTAGACAGCAGGTTCCTCGCAACCGCTTACATGGCCACGCGGTGTAGAAAAGCCGACGATTACAGCCGCCTATCTCGTAAGAGTGTATTTTAAACGATTAGCTAATTGACGGCGTGCGAGGTCTGAGGAAAACTTGGATTGTGACGCCATGTTGTCTTGTACGCGGTACCGACGTTTCGGAGGAACGTGACGCCCCATCTTTAGGGTCGAAACTACTTAGAGGACTGTGGTCCTTCTTAGCCTAGTATTAGGAATATTGAAGCCGTACCAGTTTCATCGTTTCCAGTCCACTTGTGTCCACAGCCCTCAGCTGAGCGCTGTCGTCGCTCTGGTGTCTGGACTCCGGCGGAAGTTCCGATGTCCAGAACTGGCCGCTTGCTGTCTGCTACTCAGTGACAAAAAAGGAAGAAAGTCGTGAATCGCTCTCCGTCTTCCGGACAATCAAGAACGTCGGGTCGTTTCATTTACCTGCGGGAAGACGTAGCAATAGTCTTGGTGCCGGTTCGCGGTTGACAACCTGCGCCGCTTCGTTTTCTGTTCCGTCTGCTCCGGGCGGCTACCCGGAGGAAGGGTGCTCTTGGGGCGGCGCTTGCACCTCTGCTCGCGGTATTCCGTCAGGATCGCGTGAATGGTCGCCTCGTCGCCGGCATTGCGCGCCTCCAGCATCCTCAGCATCTGGGAGTGCTGTGCGACACACAAATCGGAGAAGCTGATAGTCGTCTATTATGAGACCCGTACAGGAGCCCGCCACTTGCGTCTGTCCTGAGTCACATAAACCCAGCCCACACCCTTGCAGACTATTTATTTAAAATGCATTTTAATATTATCATCCCATGAATGTCTCAGTCTCCTTATCTAAGATTTCCTGTCCAGGAAACTTTGTACTCATTTCTTATCTCCCTCATTAATCTAGATGTTACCTCGCCAGTTTCGTATCCCACACTCGAATTTGTTACCGCCCGGCCCCGCCCTCCTCACATTTCACCGGAAAGGAAATTTGTTCCTCACTTGAAGCAAAACATCGATGAGACAGCCAGAATGTTCGAGAAAAGCTGGTCCACGTGTCAGAAGCAAGGGCAAAGTAGTCCGGACAGGACATGCGGCCGGAGACGAACAGCAGAGGAAACTCTGAGAGAGAGTGTGGCTGTGCAACAAGGTCACAAGTCCACCTCGTCAGCCCGAAAGATGCAACAGACAGTACAACGTGTACTAGACGTCGTTTAACACGCATCAACATGGCATCCTTGTCTCGAAGTTTCAAGTAAAATTCTCGATGCTAAGTAGTAAATTGGTTCAGGTTGAACCAGTTGGCCCTAGCCAGTTTCCGAATTTTGTTGTGGAAATACGTAATTTAGTAGGAAGTTGCATCTGCAAACTTTCCTGGTGTAAGGACCAACTGATCGAGATTTTGCAGAGGTAGCCCGTGAATTGTACGGACTTTGTTTTGATCTTGATTCCAGTTCCTTCCCGATTCTAATATTCTCGTTTATACCAGTGGAGCATTTGTACAAATGGACCACTCTCTTATAGGAAGACATCTGTACGCAAGGCAGACCGGCACCTGGAACAGAAGCTGATAGTTGTTCCGGCTCACTAGTTTGTGCTTAAAAGCCTACTCCCGGACCCAAATCTTAGCCTGATAAATCTAGTCCACACTTTTACATTAAAAACCCGTCTTAATATTATCCTGCCAACTACACCTCGGTCTCAGAATTGATCGCTTTACAGTAACATTTTGTATGTATTTCTCATCAGTTCCCTGCGGGCCTGAAGCCCTATCAGTGATTTTATAGCCCCAATGCTCTCGTGTTCGGTGTACTGGAGGAGAACACGGCATTTCGCAACACGTGAAGGCAGATCGTCTTATAAGATGGCTGTCGAACAAAATTAAACCCGAAACTTTGTCTTTTTGTCGCCCATCTCCGTCAGCGTCGTTAGTTTTAAGATGCACAGAAAGACACGTTTTAGGTTAGGTTAGTCTGCAGTCTTGACATTTCGTGACCCAAGAAGACATTAATCCGAAGCAGAGGTTTCCACCCCTGTTTAAGCAGGACATTACTTGGACAGTTAAACTCGGTCGGTGAGCTGGGCCCAATTCAAATGAAGTTACGAGGTATCTGCTTCAGTTCGACGTGCTCCAAGGTTACAAACAAAGCCTCCGAATAAAACCAACTTGAATTTGACAAATGCGGCAAATTACGTCTTACCTTCAGATTTGCTGGCAGGTTAAAACCCATGCACATGTTTTGGAGTTCTTTGTAGCTGAGTTCGTTCAACGCCTGTGGTTTAGCTGGCGGGCACCCAACCTGAGCTGCTGATTCACTCATGATGTCTGTTTGATTGATACGAATGTCACCGGTTAGACGGTGTCAGTTGGACTGGTGTATTGGGCTGGACGCGTGAGAGTAACCTGTCGGCGCTCCGCGAAACTACACAATCAAGACAGTTGCCGGCGTGTAAGCAACACAGGAATTGCTTAACTATCGAACAGGCAAAGGGGAAGTTTGATGAAACTTCCGTCGCCGTCAAGAATTAGGCCAGCAGAAAGGGAAGTTAAACTGCCCTGCTGTAAGTCTGGTCAAGGGGTCTGGAGTGCGCCACGCCAGTGGGCGTGTTAAATGCGTCTACTGAGACCCCCGTGCGTTTCTGGAAATGTATTCTTACGCCACTCACGGGGAAACAGAAGACAGCGAAAGGCCGTCTTGCTGACGATATCCGAAGACTAGACAGACGTCCTCAGGGCACAGGAGCTGTAAACAAACAGCAAATTGCAGCTACTCAAGAAATTCCCTGACGTTCATTTCTGTTGTTCGACCAGACAAATCCGTTGCACGTGGCTGTAGACCTTTACCTGCCTCATGATCGGGTCTCGTCGTCCTCCTCGGTTTGGTCACAGGAATAAAATTCTGTCTAGTTTATAAATTATCATGGGAACTTCCTCGTTCCGCGGTTTTGTCCATATTCCCCCCCCCCCCCCCGAAAAAATCAGGGCGATGCCGTGGGAGGAAGTCTGACTGAGGCACTGCCTCCCACTTCGGAGCTCTTTCTCACGTTCTGAGACATTTCATCGCAGTCCGTTTCTGTTAATTTTAGCGTGGAACTTTGCCGCCACTTCTGCATACCAGTGACGACTTCGTGCTGCTCACATCTTGGACATTTCTGTACTCTGTACATTCACGGCGTATGACATTAAGCGCGTACAGTCTTACAAGAAAGGGCGCGTTATGCCCTGAACCTTCAAAATTAACTCGAGCTTGTGCAAAGCGAGATAGCTCGGTCGGTGCAATGACCCGGCGACAGGGATTCGATTCCAAGCACGGGCAGAGGTTATTCGTTTTCGCCACTGTGGGGCCCACCACTGGTAACCGGCGCGTGCAGCGGCTGGAACGTGAAGCTGCCTTCTCACCCATATTAAGATTACTTGGAGCCATGTCTCAACTTCGCTCTGTCGTGATGGTGCAGTATTCAGCTTTCTTTATCTCGTGATGTTTGCTGTAACAGACGTCATCTGCAAAGTAAATCAGGTTGCAGCGGTCTGAGGGGAAACACGTCAGACTGTTCAGCCTGTAGGAACTGATTGGCCGTAAATGTGCTTCTAATGTTTACTACATGACACTGCTAGGAAGACTTTTTTCTCGTGTTACACTGGGCCAGCTGAAGTATCCGTTCGTCGCCGGATTTTTCCATAAAATAAGCTGTATGGAAATACTTAAATTTCTAATTCCTTTTATCGCTGATAAATTCACTTTTTCTAACTGCGAGTAGGTCTGTTTATGTGTTGTTGGACCGACATAATCTCTGCAGTCGAAACATAGTCGTTTAATAACGTAAGAATTAACCTCGTCAGTTGGTCACTGCCCAGAAGCTATTACCAAGAGTACTGGAGTTGGTAACACCGCTTCATTTCATCGAGTGATTGTTGGAACGATTATCGATCGATCGATCGATCGATCGATCGATCGTTTGTTGTTAGTGGCCGGCCTGTTTTTGCCCGAAGAGCATTGTGGTTCCTTTTTAATAGGATGCGCCAGCCACCCTTTGAACTGGCCGCAACCCAGAGCTTTTGTTTCGCCCGAACATCCACCCACTTTTCGTGTCGTCGAGACCTGCCCCGGGTCGCACAACAGCACAAATGAACGGTGGTCCGCGATTTGACAAATGTGAATATATTGATCTCTTCCAGCACAGGGTATGCGAATTTTTCGTGTTTTTCTCCCTCAGGTAACCCCTCGGTTGCTTACAGTCCCAAAGTCGCATAGAATCTAGCCGATTCTTCATTGTTTGTTTTAAGAAAATATGGACCAGTCAACCTGAGGTTGATGGCTGTGTAACGAACAGCTGCATCGAAGTGAGCGTTCCCAGCGGCGCCGTGGGAAACGGCTGGAAGGAGAAATGTGATCTACTCTAAAATCGGAAGAAGCGAAGTGTGTTATTGTGAGAGACGGAAATCCATCGGATGTCGACGCACGCAGATGTGCCAGTAACCCGTGACACTGAGAATGAATTAGAGATGTCACCGGGAGACCAAATATCAGCGGAATTGGTTCCAGGATTAAACACTTAACAGCGCCACAGTTTTGGTCTCTACATTCACAGCGACAACCAAATATTGAAGTACAGAACTCTCAAGACATTATTTATTTTTGCATCGTCGCCTCATTTTTGTTTTGTTAGAATCGGACGTTTCAACTCAGTTTCAAACGTACGCCTCCCGTCGGCATCTTCAGTCGTGGCTGCACGAAGTGTTCACTGCTTTGCCGTCAGAGTTCGCTTAGAAACTAACCTACGAAGTTGCCTTCTTATTTTCATAGCAGTTTACGTTTTCGTGTTTAATCCGCGTATGACATGTAATAGGAAGGAATGCATCTTGTGTTTGTGAAAAGAGGCACGGAACTCCTTTCACCACTCAGCGCTCGTAGAGGCATGCAATCGAAGTACTGTCCAGCCAGTTGCTCCGTTGTGAGCCCGTGCTCTGTCATTTGAGGTCACGTGGGATGTGCTCCTGTAACTGCCGACGAATTGATTTGTCTATTGGGCTGAAGTGTCCGTGTCTGCTGACGACCAGATCCTGACAGAAATCAGAGCATTGCTGTCTCAACGCTTGGCTGTGCAGACGAATTTCTCGCCTTTCAGAAATGCCATGTGACGAGTTTAATATTTTCACAGGAGCAAAGTTTCTTGTCCGTGCGTGCAGCATTTTTCGAAAATCGCGAATTAATTTATTCCGCTCAGTGAGTCGGACGCAGTCACCGCGGTCCGTTTCTGCACGCAGATGCTGTGCAGGTCGATGGTGATGTTGCCATTCCCACCAATTTATCACGCGATCGGTGAATTTGTCTTCATTTTTTCTTCTCTCTGACTCTTTACGTGGTAATTTTAGGCAAGGTTATTATTCATTTTATATTTTTCGTCGACGGCTGAGGAACTCAGAACGGCGTTTAACTTGTATTTATAGAGCTCTTAAACATCAATACCATGTACAGACAAGTTTATAGTCGCTCGCCCTTTGCTTTATGGAGCGAATGTTTGTTGCCGTGTCCACAAGAGCCCGCCACTGGTTCCTGCCGAGAGCCAGTTGAATTCAGTACGCACACTCGCACACGCCGTATTTATTTGACATCGGCTAAAGCATCTGTCCGTCTGTGTCATGATCTATTTACCTTCTCCGACCGCTGTTAGTGACCGAGGCTCGAACTGGCGTGAAGATTGTACTTTGTCTGAGACAGAACTTGATCTGTCTTGAGCGAATGCGACAGGTTAGTCAAAGAGCAAACTGTGACACATGACCTCCGCTGCTACCTGCCACGAAGATCAATATTAGCCGCCTGAAAAACCCACAGATAGTCCAAAAAAAAGCACTCAGCGTCTGGCAAACAGAAGTACAACGCGAGCCAGACAACAGGTCTCTGTCCTGAGCCAGATTAATCCACTCCACCACATTTCTTAACCATTTCGTGTATATTACCCTTCCATTTACGATGAGGTCTAGCGAGCGGGTTCTTTCCTTCAGCTTCTGATTAAATGTTTACGTCGTTTAAAATAGATATTTCTATTAAAGGAAAGCCCGAGAAGATACTCTAACCCCGCAGAAGGACAATTACTAAATCAGGGGAT